TGTTTTCCTCCTGGGGCCGGGCAGTGCCTACTGCTCCCTGTTCTTGCTGCTCAGTTTTGAATTCTCCTCTCCCTTTTCCAGGTTTCCTTGCTTATGCTGCGATCCTCTTGGCACTCTGCTTCCTCCTGATCTTCTACCTGGCACCCCGTTATGGCCAGAGCAACATCCTCGTCTACCTCACCATCTGCTCCGTAATTGGCGCCTTCTCCGTGTCCTCGGTCAAGGGCTTGGGAATTGCCATCAAGGGCTTCTTTGCTGGCCGGCCTGTGCTGCAGCACCCACTGACATGGATCCTGGTCATCACGCTGGTGGCAGCCATCACTACACAAATTAACTACCTCAACAAGTCCCTGGACATTTTTAACACCTCTTTGGTGTTTCCCATCTACTACGTGCTGTTCACCACCATCGTCATCACGACTTCCATCATCCTCTTTAAGGAGTGGGTCGCCATGACCGTCATCGACATCATCGGGACAGTTTGTGGCTTCCTCACCATCATTCTGGGGGTGTTTTTACTCCACGCCTTCAAAGACCTGGATGTCAGTTTAGGGAATCTACCACAAGTCCTCCAGAATGAAGAGCAAGTGCCGGCCACCAGAGATGACAAGAACATCCTGATAGAGGTGGACAACTCCAGCATCGCCCCAGAGGATAAACCCAAGGTATTCATTCACCTAGCACATTATGTGTGAGGGACTGGAGGGTGGGTGAATGGGTTGACCAATATTCCAGCTGTCACTGAGCAGTTTAAAAAAGGAAAAGCAGAAAATAAAACCGTCAGTGTCTTATCCAGAGCTTGGTAGAATCAAGCCAAAACTTTCTCCAGGTTTTTGGATGGGATCTCAGTCACGGTGTGGCAGCAAGGGGTATGTTTAATCCTCGCTGTGCCTTAATACATGCAGCCACTGAAAACAAAAATCCTCTTGAAATATGATAGTCCTGGGACAAAGCTCCTCTCTGAGGCCCCTTCCCATCTCTTATTCTTGGCAGGGCTAATGTTTACTCTTGAACTCCTTCCCCTGGGTGGCCATTGATGTCTTTATTTCCAGAGCTTGATTGAGTCATTGATTTGTGGGTTTTGCCTTTTTTTTTTTTTTCCTTTCTAGGCACTGGCATGAACTCTAAAATACACACCAATATCTCAAGTGGAGATGAGAGACAAGACCTGAACCGTGCACTCCTGCTATTCAGACTCTGCTCATCCATATTTGGTCACTTGCTCTGCAAATAATGGGACAAGAATATTGGTGAATATGGGCAAAACTTGGCAATTTTTGGAATAGGCACTGGCTCAGGCTCAGTGGCTGGACCCAAACCATGAAGTGCTTTTGGACCATAGCGGGGAAATCTTTTTCAACTTTTGTTTTTCTGTGAGATCCAGGAGTTTCTCTGCAGCACAGTGTTAATTAATTTTATGGGAGTTTTGGTTGTTTGGGGTTTTCTTTTTCCTTAGCAGCCACAGTGCCCAGGCCATGTTGATGTGGTTGGTGAAGTCTCTGGGCCTGATCCAGACCTCACCTGAACAAGGGGCAGCCTCTTCTCAGGCTGGGGAGCTCTGTCAGGATAAACTCCATGTCAGGAGAAACACTGCCACTGTCCCCAAGACTGCTTTTGATAATCTTTTCAGTCTAAAAGACAAAGTGGCTCTAAATGTTAAGTATTTTTTTCCTTAGGAAATATCTTGACCTTTGTGAGCCCCCCAAATCTTTCAACCCCTGTCCTTGCTATCATTTAAGCCCCAAAGCTTTTTTGTTGCTGTTTAGAAAGAGGTATGAGCTGCGTGTTAAAAGCTGAACAGGTATAAGAGGGTGATGCTCTGCAGAGCTGCAGGGATGCAGTTTATCCCAGAGCAGTCCCACTCACCTCTCTCCATCTCTCCCATATAGTACACCTGGCCTTTTGCTCATCTTGGAAACACCCTTGGATTTGTATCATTGGTCAGGATGAAGGGATGGGAGAAATAACATTTTTAGCTGAACAGTGAAAAAGGAAGGTATTACTGCAGTTGAAAGGTTTTCCCATCTCACTGCTGGGTCTTCTGGGGAGACTGGAGTTCATTTGCTGGCAGCAAATCCCAAACAGGGAGCAGCAAAGCCTGAGCCAGTCCAGAGGCAGCTCTGCCTGGGTTATCCCTGGACCACAGCACACACTGATGCTGCCTGAGATGCTCACCTGGTTATACCTGGGTCTGAGCATCACTGAGCAAATGCAACTTGGGGTTGCAGGAGAGAGGACTATACAATCTCTTATTTTAATAACATTTCAGTACTATTTTTTTGGAATGTGGAAAGGAAAATAAAGGGTTTTTTTCTAAAAAAAAAATAACAGTTGCAGGTGGATCTGAAAGTTTTTAATGATTTCTCTCATCTTACTGGTGTAGCCCTAAAGGATAAACAGGCTGAGGGACAACAGAAAGAGCATCAGGAGCAGAGTAAAACAGCAGCGACCTCCTTTGGTGGCAGACAATAATCCAGGTCACTCACTCGAGCTTTGGTTTCAGCATCCTAATCAGTGTAATGCTTTATGCATTTTATTTTAGAAAATGACTGTAAATGGGACTCAACTCACTGCCTAGAACTGTATATCATAAAAGCCATTCCTCCAGCAATCCTGCCATCTCTGGAGAAATGCCACATAGAAAATGAAGATTTGAACCGAGGTAATGAAATAGCACACAGTGGAAGGAGCATTTGTTAATGACAACCAACAAATTTATTAAAACCAGGCAAAAGGCACAATGACTTGCATTCAAGTATTTGCATAGATGCATAGAGAGCATTATTGTAAACCATTAATAGACCATTAATATGGTGGACACGGGAAAAAGTGAGATGTATTTTAATATATGTTCTCCCAAGTAACATTATCTTTCAAAAAAACCAGGTTTTACCATCCTCCTGCAGTTCCCCTGTTCTCATTCACGCAACTTGCACACATCTGAAAATTTATAAGGACTTACTTAAAACTGCCTTCTGGAGATTTTTATGATATTCCAGCAATAAAGTTTTCCATTGGAGTTTGGGCACGTCCAGTTGTTCTCTGAGCACTGTGTGTCCAGGGGCACTTTTTAAAACCTTGACCCCATGCTCACATGAAATGTAGTGAAAATAATTTTAGTGATTTCGAGTGGCCATTTGCTGAAGATCAGGGGTTGGAGCAGAAGTGTGCTGCTGTGGCCTCAGTGAGGGCTCAGAGAAAAGATCAAGTTCTTGTGATTGAATCTACTACTACAGTGTATGTACAGTCCTGCTCCACCTGTGAGCACCAAAACATGCCATGACATCCACAGCCACACTGACTGCACCCCAAGAAACAACAAATTTTGGGGGTTCTTTGAATATACATTTTTATATGTAATATATCCCAACTATAGAAAAAGACATATAAAGATCAGAAAACTGTTATCTTTCACTTGCTAGACCCTGATTCAGAAAGGAGTTTTTTTAGGTTGGTTTGTTTTCCAGGCACGTAAAAGGTAAGAAAAGGTCTAAAATTAGTGAGATAAGGAATAATCAGCAAGAAATTCAACCCTGTGAACTGTTTCCTTGTGGAGAAAGAGGTAGTAAAGTTGTGAAAACTAGTGTGGTTTAAGTCCTTACAGATACACTACTACATATAACTACAAATTTAATGAGTACTTGGAATTTCTCTGGTTGAGGTTTTTTTTAGTAAGTATATCTTAGGGAAAGAGAACCATCAGACAAGACTCTTTTTCTTTATGCCAATAATACAGTTTCTCACATGTGGAGCAGCAGTCACGCTGTTTGAGGATTTTTCCATAATAAATCAGACACAACAGAGCTGTTGCAACCACAGCTCCAGATTTCCCTGTGTTCTCCTAGGGAATCATTTCAAGGAAAAAAAAATATCTGGCATAACAAAAGGTCTTAATTTAAAATCCTGAGGAAAAAAAAAAAACAACCATACAGAAGTCCAAACTATTAGGAGAAGAAAAAAACCAAATTCATAAGGGAGAATCCTCAGGGTCAGAACCATCAGCTGCTTAAAGTGCACACAGACAGCTCTCTCCATCCATGGCCTGGAGGAAAAAACCTGGAGTAAAAGAGCTGTCATACAAAAGCACCATGTGTTGTGTTAATATTTCTGCTGTTTCTCCACTGGGCATTTTTAAGGTAGGTTTCTCAGTGGTTTGGGGATTAGACAGCCCATGCTGAGTTACTGCTCAGCACAGACTGAAGTCTGAGATGTGCAAAAGTGTTGATCGCGGTACCGCATGCTGGAGAGGAGGTCTCAGCACTGCCCTTTGCTGAGCTTCCTTCTGGCCTTTTGTTCTGTCTCTTGGCCAGTCTCCCTGTCGTACCTTAAGTGTGTCCTAGTGACATGGATGAGAGCTCATGGGCCATGCTGGGGATGCTTTCAGGTTTTACAGCACCGAGGGAAGACAAGCGAGCGCTGGAGGACAGGCGGGTTGCAATGCTCTTGCTGAAGATGGTTATATAGGGAAAATAGTCAATCCACTCTACTAAAGCCAAAACCCACAGTGGCCCACAAATTATATTTCCCTGGTTTGCTCCCTGTTGTGGCCCCACTTGCCACACACTGTAAACTGAAAATAAACTGAAGAAAGTTACCACCAGCTGCCTTCTGCTCTCCCAGGAGGCAGCGGGTTCTTTATAGCACCAATGTATGCTCCTGCAGCTGCGTGGAGGGGCTGAGGAAGCCAACAGGACTGGGGCTCACATAAAAGCCCATCAGGGCCAGCACCTGCACTCACAGCTTGTTCTCCCTGGTAGCACTTCAATAACTGATTAAAAACATGTGAAACCCCCCTCACCTCATCCCTGTGTTGGATATTGCACAACAATGTTTAAATACCGTACAAACAAGTCATTCCTACACGGAAAAGGCTGTCAGCAGAGAGGGTCCAGCTCAGCTTGGCATGTACCTGGGGCACTCCTGCCACACCTGACTGCAGCTTGGTGAGTCACGGAGGAAATGGGAGGCAAGAGGAGAGGAACGGAGACACTGTGGCAGGGAGCGTGTTTTTGGGTGATGAAGGCCATCCAGTGCCCTGTGAAGGCCAGAACCAGCCAGAACAGACTGCTTCAGGAGTGCCCACGGGAGCCTGGCTGTCCCACTTTCCAGCTGTTTGCTGCTCCAGCCATCCAGACGCCAGTATTCTGGGTGAGATGGAGAAAGGGAAAAGAGAGAGGAGTGAGCAGTGATGGAAGAGCAAGCATTACCCTTGCCCTCTCCTGGAGCTGATGTTACTGCCAGCCTGAGGCAGCCTGCATTCACACTCTAAAAGCATCACCTACACAGGAAACTCTCCCACCAAGAGCACAATGAAATTCATGCAGTTTTCTCCATTTTTCACAGTTGGCCTCCAGTATGTTGCAGGCTGGAGGCAATAGAACTGTGCTGTGTGGAGTGGAGGTGTTTTGTGTTAAGTGATCCAGTGTGCAGGGCACTGAACTCAGTATCTAAAAGTCCCTTATTAACTCCCCTTATTAAGGACAATTTTGGGGAACACTCCTTGTAGAGAAAGCATCTCCTTAGCCATGGCTAGAGAGGCTGGAAAGAATTTTTATTCCTTACTGGGATCTTCAAGTCTTGTGTGAATCCATGTTTTGCTGCTCTTCACTAATGGTTCACACACACCTTTGATCCCCCCATTGCTCTGCCCCCCTCCCACCACCACACTCAGTACCTACCTCTGCCCCCGGCTGGAGCCGTCCCGGAGTTCTGGTGTGTGCAGGAGGCAGTGGGACAGCAGGGCTGTTCCCCTGCCAGGCTCTGGATCTGGATGGGACAGGATCAGCTGGCAAAGCCCTTTGGGGTGGCCGGGGCCTCAAAATATCCTATGCAAGAAAGATATAGTTTTGAATTCTCAGCTTCAACAGATGCCCAGCCTATAAACAGAGATGATATTTGCATTCCCTTTACATGGTGTGAACTTTTGGGTATGGCCAGAGGTCCTTTGGACCTCCTGGGCTTCTTTCTTATTTTGCAGGTCTGAGCAGGCTGGGTATGGAGCTGCCCACCCCAAGATGTCTGGTTTGGAGTTAACCCCAGGGTTATTACAATCTATGGCTGCATGATGAAAAGCAGGAGATGCCTTACAGAGTGGGCAGGAGTCCCCATCACAGCTGAGCCTTTAGCATCCCTGCCTGAGACAGAGGGCTGAGGGACACAGGTAAACCCATGCCTATGAAGACCTCCCTCTCCCTCTCTGACTCCAGAAGGGAGCACAGGCAGCTGCCATTATGGCTTGTTGTATTACACAGGTGATTTAGTGGTTTTCAATGTGGAAGAGTTTTTCACCTGTCAATTTTCATGAACACAGGATGGCCTTAAGGCTGCTGGGCAGCTGCCTTCAGCCAAGGACAGCCAAACAGGGTAACAGGGTTCCCAGCTTGCCCTGCTTCCCAGATGGAGCTGTGGCCGGAAAGCGCATCATATTCTGGCTATTAAAGAAGGATCCAGGGGTTTTAAGCCCTGAATTTTGCAAATAATAGGGAAGCTATGTTCCAGAGCCTTTTAAATAACCACATTGCTGATGCATTTCAGGCTGGAAGTAAGTTTCACACAGGTACACTCACTGTATGTTTGCCCATACAATGCCTGTAAACACTGTATGTTTATAAACACGTGCCCACACAAATACATGCAGACCCACAAGCAGTTTTTATTTGTTTGTGCACACAGCTGTCCCTAATAGAATACTTGGAGCATTATATTTTCCATTCATCTAATGAATTTCAGTGAAAAGTATGCCCCTGGGGAGGAGTTACCCCCACGAGAGCTGAATGCCTGTTGTTGCTCAGGCTCCGTGCTAAGTGCTGGCTTACAGGTGTTGATTTAACAAACACAGCTGCACTCACGACTTGGAGGGCACCCAAAAACCCTGCAGTCCCCTCAGACTATGCATAAATGCAATGCTTGATGGCTTGTGGATCTATTACTCTCCAAGGATCTTGCCCTGTGACTCCAGGAAGGACAAGGCAGACTAAATTCCACTGACTGCCAAGTCTGAAGAAATCCTATAGGAATAGCAAGAGAGCAAATCTGGCAGATGCTGCAAATGTCTAGGAAGGACACTGACACAGCAAACAGTGACATTAATTATTTCCCCTGTACCTTTTCCATATTGTAGCTCTCCACCAACCCAGAAACAGCAAAGTTTCTTTTGGAAATTTTATGAAAATTGTTCCATCTAGTTGGGCTGACTGAGATAAAGAGACTGGATGCACTGGGGAAGGCACACAATGGAGATTGTGGAGAACTTGTCAACAACCAGCTGGGAAGGATACCTATTCCTTATTGACAACAGTCAGCTTCCTGCTTTTGTTTTAGTTTTCTTTCCTGCTGAAGTGCCGGCTGTTCACAGGAACAATGGAGCTGGACACAAATCCCACTTGCTAAAATTTTCCTCTATAGGAATCCCTCAAGGGTTTGTTTTCCTCTATATCCTTCAGAGAGAGACTGCCTGGGAGCCAACCTCCTGCTACCTGCTGTAACCAGGCCCTTTGCTTTTTTGATGGTCCCAACCTAATATTTTGGCAAAATGGGCTTAAGTCTCTGAGTGATTTACCATTTTTTTCATAAGAATTTGTGATCTGTAGTAAGTTTAGAGCAAAGCACAAGAATCTCCAAAATAACCTCATGGATAGGATGCTCACATAGGATGGGGTCAGTTTGGGTTAAGACTAATGTTTTCTACGAAACAGACTCAAGGTCCCATTCCTGCTCCACATCAAAATTTGTCTGAGGCTCACGAGGCTTTAGTCCAAATGCAAGATACCTGGGGGATCATCCCAAGGAATGGAGATCCTTCGCTCAGTACTGAACCACTGACTGGTAATCTCAGAAGGGCTTGCTGGATGGAGCTCTGAGCAACCTGCTCTAGTGGGAGGTGTCCCTGCCCACAGCAGAGGGGGTGGAACTGGGCAATCTTTAAGGTTCCTTCCAACTCTATGATTGTATGATTCACATGGTAAGAGGAGCTATGCCTGGCTTGCTTAGGGAAAAATTTGTACAGTCCTTTCATTCCTGACAAATGATCTCTGTGACTTGCAGCTAAAAACTCTTTGGATGACCGTGGATGCTGCTCTGTGATCCAAGCTTCAGGTTCAGGTCAGAGGTGTTGGGGGACCTGAATTAAGTAATTGTGTGTGATAGGGTCCAGCACAGAGACTCTCAGCCACACTGCAAAGCAAGGAGAACCACCAGGAACTGTCCTGTGGTGAGATGGAGCACGCACTGGTGAACACGGTAACTCCTACACCCCCCAGGGTGAGGGGCTTCACCAGCCTCCCTCAGAACAAACCTCCCAACAAACAGCATCTGCAGGACAGTGTCAGGACTCCATACCTGAGAGATGGGGGGTTTGGGAGCAGGAGGTGCTGGCCTGCTTGGGGGTGTCCGCCGGGCCACGTCCCTCGGAGGTGCCGGCTGTGCCGGGCCCGCGCCGCAGCTGTAGCTGGAGGAGGAGGCAGATGGCTGCTGCCTGCTTGTTTGGAGCCCTGCAGCTTGCTGGGCAGGAGGTTTTGGTGGGATTTCAGGGAAGCCAATCACCTGTGCAGGAGACCCACAAATCCCAAGATTTAGGTATTTCCGCCTCAAACCACTTTTTTGCTCTGTGATACTTGTAAGGATCTGCGTGAGGTCTATGAGCCACAGTAGAAAATATTGCCTGCAACACCAGCGTGTGTTGCTATGTCTAGTGGACATTGATTAGATAGATTGGGGCAATTTGGGATCATGAGTCAGAACTGGGAATCAAGAAAACAGAGTAATTCAAGCCTTTCTGTGGTGCTTGCAAATAAACTCCCGTGTTTGCCATTTCTACAGTTCTAAGAGAGGGATGTGACAGTAGAGGATCTATCAGGAGAGACAAGCAGCCACACAGGCCTGGTCAAAGCCCAGCTCCTGCCCATAAGAAAATCCCTAGAAACAGGTACTACATTCAGCTCCCACTGACTTTCAGCTACAGGTGATGTCTGTCTATTTTTTTCTTTCATAAAACCAGTCCCTGACTGCAGTGTGAGAGGGAACCACATCCCACATCTTAGGGCAGCTGCTTCTCTCCCCCAGGAGTTGGAATGTGATCTTGGCCCTACCTTCCTCTGCTGCTGGGGGGTTTTCAACTTGAAGGCAGGGTTTGCATGCCCAGTTCCAGAGGTGTCACTGACAACGAGAGAAAGAAAAGCGTGTTATTGTCTTGATACATTTTTCTTTTTTTTCCCCCTGTATTTTCTATTTTAATTTCACCAAAGTAAAAAAAATGAGAAGCAAATACTCACTATACCAACAAACCCATCTAGTTACATTCCTCACAGCCTCTACAATGCCTCTTCTGTCCTGGCACTGAAGGTGGGAGGGGGTGCAAGCAGACAAGGCACAGCACTGACAACTTACCTGAACTGTGGTGTCTTCTTTAGAGAACAGATGGCAAATTTATTCCAGCATTTCAGATAATAGAATAAAAACATGATTCCAATGAGAAGAAGAATGGGAGCCAGGATTGCAAGAGTTATCACGACTGCTGAAGAGCCTGTGGGCAAGAAAGTAGAGTTTGTTAAATGGAAATCTCTCTGGTCCCAATCTAATACAAGTCCTTCTGAAGTGGTACCATCACAGAGTTGGTCCCACTCACCTTCAGGCGAGGGGGGACCACTGTCCAAGCTTCCTCCCCTCCCCTCCTTGTTGCAAAACGGGGGGTCCCACCCCTGGTTGCAGTGGCAGTTCTTGTTGTTATTGCAGACCTGGAGTAGGAGGATTCATAGACTTTAGTGCCAGCTACTAAGGACCCTGCAAGCTAAAACTAATTAAGCCATTGCTGAATAAAGCACTACAGAAGAAACTCTCATGGGCATAAATAGGGAGTTAAGTGCCTGGAAATCTTTTTTTTCAGGGCGTGAAAGTGCCATTTATTGCCTCAGATATTCTCCCTTTCTCCAAAAGACAAGGGTTCTTCAGCTGAAGTGCCAATAACCTGAATTCAGGAGAAATGCAGCATTTAGAAACACCTTTCTCTTATCTCTAAATAGAAGGATATGAAGATTTCTCATTGTTTAGGCCAAATAGCTTGACCCATTCATATTTGGCTTTTCTTTGCATCCCCTGGGGGCACTCCAGAGTAATTTGGGATAAACTGTTCTAAACGTGAATTTTTACTATGTTTTTCCTTTGGCAAGTCTGATATATTTTTTTACTTAATCTAAACTGGGCCCAGAAGATTTCTCTTTAAGATTGCCCCTTCTTGTTTTTCATTCATTGCAATTCATACCCCTCCAGCAGACCTCCTTAAATCACACGTGAAAGGGAAGCTCATGGACAAGAAAATGCATCAAACAGGAAAGGAATGTGCAGATTAATAATCAAGAAGCCAAAGTCTGGAGCAAACCTAAGCATGGTATCAGAACTGAGCTGAACGACCGCCCACAGAAGCCCATCCTGCTTCAGCCTGAAATGGAGATGAAAAGGAAGACACTTACTCCATGCCCATGGCACTTCTTGCTACAACTTTCAAAATCAAAGATGATGGATGTGTTCTGGCAGCGACCCTCAAAGCAAACCTGCAGAGAAAGGATCCAGAAACTCCGTGTTAGCTCTTTGAGCTATGTACCACATTACTGCCTTGTGTTATTTTGTGGCTCGTGGGGTCCCAGGCACCTTGGAAATACAACTAATTCTCTGGGCAGAACAACAGGCCATGAAGGTAACCTCGTTCCCAAGCAAACAGTTAATCTCTAAATCCCACCTAATGTGCATCAGAGGAGTGGGTGCTCTGCTGTCAATAACTTGGCTTAGCTGTGGCAAGTCTCTGAAGGAGCTCTCACATGTCTTGATTTCCAGTTGTGTGTCTTACTTCTAAGCAAAACAACCTCAACTAACTAGCAAATCCCAAAAGTAGCACTGGGCCTGGACTTCATCTGGCAAGGACATAAGGCCTGTGGTGTGTGTTCTTTTCTCTGAAGCCTCTAAGAAATTATTTTTCTAACAAATATAAAAATCTCCTACAAAGGCACTGGACATAAGAAATTAATGGCTCGATAACCAAAAAGCACATTCTGGATGGAAAACTGATACGCTGAAACCTCCCCCAAGCCATTTCAGGCAGAACTGTACCTACATGATGGCTCCCACATTTTGTTCCCGTCAACACCAAGCCAGGATCCAGCATCTCCTTTTCCTCACTGTCAGGTCTGTACACGTGGGTCCCTCGGCACATCTGCGTGTTGACAGTTGTGTCTATGGCCACTGCATTGGACTGCACGGGCTTGGAAGCATAGCTCTGGCACTGGATCTTCCCACATTTGGCATCTCTGATTTCAAAGAAAAGGCTAAAGTGATTATTTCTGGCCTGCTGGATGTTTTGCAGGCATCGGCTCTACATGTAAATTAAAGCAGCAGTGTTGAGTCATTGTTCGATGAGCAGACACTGCCCAAGAAATAGCCCAAGCAACAGTGTCTGATGAGAACTGATGGTACCATCTCACAGTCCCTATGGATGGGGGTGATGTCCCCATGATATCCCCACGCCAACCTCAACAATATCACAGTTAAGACTAAGAAATTTTTGTCTCAGATAGAAAGCTACATTTCATTTACAGTTTTAAAAATCCCCTCTTCTGTTGCTTTGAAAAGAAAATATCAACTAGATGTTTGAAAATGCAAAAGGCAGGAAAATGGTGAACTGAAAGTTTCAGTTTTAAGGGCTCTAAGTTCGACAAGGATGCAGTTGGATTCCCAGAAGGCAGAGGGAAGGAGTGAAACCAGTGCATGGATCAGTTTTATCTACTGGCCCATAATTTTGTAATATATAAAAACATGTTCTCCAATGAGCAATTCTTGGCTGCCACTCTGCTTTGTACCTGGTCTCACACTTCCTGTAGTTCCCGTAGATGTCCTTCCCGCAGTTCCCATAGATGTCTCCAGCAGCATTAACCTTCTCAAAGCAGGCATCTGGTGCTGGCCACGCTCCTGCAAGGAAGAGACTCGTGGCTGATTCCTGTGGAGCCTGGCAGCCCATCTCACCCCAGGCCAACCACTCAGTTGTTCTTTTTCTGGAATGCTTTGAGCACGGGAAATTTTTGCTGCCTCCTCCAAGCGAGTAAGGCAGGAGAAAAGGCTCCTCAGACTGAGCCACTGATAACGGGTATGGGAGGTACTACTGCCTTGCACAGGGTGAACAATAGCAGGATGCCACATAATGCTGCCTGTTACCTTACCTGGCCCCCACAGCTGCACACACTGGTCCCTGTATGTGAGGCACATGCCACTGTAGCAATAGGCCCTTCCTCTGTCACAGGGAGCCCCATCAATCTGGTAAGAGTTGGGGGGGCAAAACGGTGACTCGCCAGTGCAGTATTCTGGGAGGTCACAGGGTCCTGACACTTCCCTGCAGAGAGTTCCTGGAGACATCAGCTAAAAAGAGACAATGGGGGGAAAAAATGAATTATTGCTTGGCTCCTTTGTGGTTTCATGCCTGCGCAATGTCTCCCTGTAGATAAGACAGAATCTTGCGTGTCACTTTATCCTCCTTGTCTTAGGTTTTTTGAGGTCAGCAGTGACTCATATAACCATAATTTCATTAACTGGGTGAACTATGCAGAATCAAATTAATGACTGGATCCCCTCCCCAAGCAGCAATGAGATCATTCACAGATGCTGCTGGATCTCATGGGGACACTGATCCATCTCGCTCTACCCTTGGGTAGGATCCAATTTACCTGAACCATTTCTGACAGATGTTCGTGTAATCTGTTCTCAAAGCCCTCCTTGTTTGGGAAGTTTGTTCCAGTGTTGGCCTGTCATTTCTCCTGGAGACATTTTCCTAATGCATAACGTATGTCTCCCTTGCTCATGAGTTTATTCAGTTCATTCTTCTCCTATCCACCATGCACATGGAGAACAAAGGGCACACACAATTACATCTAGGAGGTTGTTCCAAGTCTTTTGTGAAAGGAATGACTCCAGGTGGTTTTCCACATGCTTAGGATAGGTCAGTAAGAGCAAGCAATCAATGTGCAAACAAAGATGAGACTAATAGAGAAATGATTGCCTATGTTCCATTTTTGAATTAATTTGTTGTCAAAGCTTGAGATCTTTGGCTCCAAAATCAGAAACATATTTTAACCAGCCTCTACAAGGGAAGCTGAGATTTAAAATGATAGTGGTCACAGATATATAATTCTCTTTGCCAGCATTTCTTCAGCAAGCACCTAAGCTAAAGGAATTCAACTGCACCTCAGAAAAGAGGGTTTGGAGCCAAGACAGCATCCAGCCTACACCCCAGAGGAAGTGTTTGCTCCAAGAGCTCTGTCTAGATTTCTTCTAGAGCCAAAGGACAGAAATATTAACTCTGATTAACCCCATCCCTAAGTGTTTGAAAGAGGCAGAGTGACTTCATTCCAGCAGCATTCATTGCTCATCTTAAATTATCACAGGAGCAAATTAAATTAATCAGCCAGAAGAAAGGAACCCCACCAGTTTGACTGCACTGGTAGCAGTTGTACCTAAAAGATCAAACCAAGTGAGGAGCTAAGCTCTATTTGGCTGTTTGCTCCTCTTTCCCCTCCAGTTTTCAGCCTCACACTTCCACCCTTGTTATTCTCTCTCCTCTTAGGAAAACCCAGAGCTCCCACCTTGCACTGATGACAGCAGCTGCCGTGGGCACATTCAGCACCTGGCTTCAGGGAGCAGGTGCTGGCATCGCAGCAGGGGTTGTTACACTCCTGGAAGACAGGGAGATGCAGCAGAGGTTACAGGACAGATGTGAGGCTGACACTAATCTGTTCTCATACATGACGAATTACACCACACAAAGTACCTTCCTTCCTTCCTTCCACAGTGTGCTCATGACACACAGCACTGCACAACCATACCCTCTGATGGACTGACTGGATACTACTGGTTGTGCTCATTACACCTGGAGAGTCTGGGCTGCTGGTTCCAGCTCTCTGTTCTCTTATTAGTCAAGGGATGGATTTGGAGAAGTGAGATGCAGTGCTAAGAGAAGCCCCATCCTTATCAGGAATGGAGCTGTAGAAAAAGGGAACTTATATATGAAACTGTAACATCTGGAAGAATTCTTCCTGGACATCAGGGAAAATTTCCTCTCAGAAAAGGCTATTAAGTATTGGAATGGGCTGCCCAGGGGGATGGTGGAGTAAGCATCCCTGGAAGTGTTCAAGAAACTACTGGACATGGCACTCAGTGCTCTGGTCTAGTTGACAGGGTGGTGATCAGTCAAAGGCTGGACTCAATGATCTTGGAGGTCTTTTCCAACCTTAATGATCTGTGATCTAAAAATCACTTTTTCTTCTCTTTTTTAAAGGAAATTTTCATTACCTCTGTTCAGCCCTGGATTACACCATCTCTGAGTTCTGGGATGCATTGTACTACACACTGTGAAGTTAGACATGATATTGAACCTTGCTTTACATTTATATGCAGGGAAGGTATGTGTATCTCCTGCACAAAGAAAACCTGATTACAGATCATATAACTGTATAATAAAACTGTATAATAAAAATATCGTGTCCCACTAAACCCCAAATGGTTGGATCTGAACAATTGTTACCTCCACCTCTCCACAGTCACACTCCTCCCCGTCTTCCAAGTAGCCATTTCCACATTTTTTTCCACCATACATTTTCTTGGTATCTGGCATATTGGAGAGACACATGCCTCCACCAGACTGCAGATAATTCTCCAGCTCTCTTCTGTTGCACTGGTTGAACACCTTGGGGAATGGGTGCCTGAATATAGACAGCGGAGAAAAACATCAAGACAGATCTGGGCAATGATTTAGAGAACCAGAAATGAGCACACGCAAATCCTGACAAATGCCAAAGGACACAGGTCTCTTCCCAAAATCTATGGAGTTGTGCCAAAGCAGATGGTGATTTCACATTCCTGAATTACACTTGAAGACAAGGTGAGACTGCACTGCAAGACTGTCTAGAAACATAATGGCCTGAAAATATAAACTTTACAGAACCAAAATGTGTTGAGATAGATTTGACTTTTGGCAAGCATGGCTGTCCTTACCTGCTCAGTACTGGTGCTGTGGCTTATTTCTAACTGCTTGAACAAGCCTTGGAATCCAGCACTCAGCCTGTGAATAAATGCTTGAACCTAACTGCTAAAAATAACATTTAATTTTTCCTTTAATTTAATAATTCTACAGCCTCATTTTGAAGATTGTGAATATCTTCTGTCACACTAATTATTAATTTCTGTTACTGCATTGCCAGAACCTTGCACTCTGTGTATGACCATGGATGTGTGTGTGCATGCTGTGTGCTCTACTTGCGTGCCACTACATTTTCACTTCTCACATAAATGTTTTTTCTTATTTAGACAAAACCATGCACATAAAAGATATCTATGGGGAAAAAAAACCCTGTTCAAACCTTCTAAACCCTAAGGAGGAAGGCTTGAGGAAAAGTGGAATATGGCTTTAAGTGAATGGGTTTGTCTCACATTTTTCGTGACTGAAATATGTTGTTTCCTCTTCCAAAATGAGCTATTAAATCCCCTGTGGGTTTCTAGAGTCACTCTTGCTTCCCTTTCTCTCAAAGCTGACTATTTCTTCCCTTTTAAACTCACTGAAACCAAGGAGCATTCTTAAGAAAAGAGAATAGGAAAATTTTCCTTTTTACCAGAGTCTAGAGCTCCACTTCTAAATGCTGCCAGGTGCCTACATTATCTAAGGCCAAGCTCAGGCCTAAAGCCTGCTCAGGCAGGAATCAGTTCATTGTGAATTTAGCAAATTGCTACTGACCCATGATCCAGGGTTTTCCTAGCAGTATTTTCTCTATAAACACACTGCCTCCAACAGGCAGCAACAGACTCACCTTCAGTCTGAATTTCTAGTTCTTACTCCACCGAGGCTCTTGTAACAAAGCCCTTTGCATTTCTCCGTGAGACCACATAAGATGAACTCACCCAGTTGCAGAAGCCATGATGCAGCCTCCATCTGCTGCAGGGGTAGTACAGCAGCCAGCTGAGTCGTGATTCATGCCAAAATTGTGTCCCATCTCATGGGCAAGGGTAGCAGCAACACCAATGGCATTATCAGAGTGATCCTGTGCAAGGGCAAAGAGGCACGTCAGCATTTGCCCTGTGCCTGTCCTGTGCACCTCTGTGTCAGTGGGGTAAGTGGCACTGCTCATTACTACATGTAGAAAATATCTACTGAAGGTACTCCTGCCTATAAGCAGGTGAGCTGGAGAACTTCACAGGAAATATTTTCTTCCTGGGCTTTTGGAGGCATCTATCTATGTATTCACTGCTGGCAAGAAACTTTATATTAGGTATTAGCAATTACTTACCATGTTTACTCCTCCTGACTGGAAATCAGAGCACATGGCCATCACGGGAGCCAAGCCTACTGTGGTACCTTTGAAGGGCACACCCCTAAAATCAACCCAGAAAGACCATGAAATGGCACTGAGGCACTTGAGAAGGCAGGCAGAGAAATACACCCTGCAGTGCACAGCTTCACAGATAGAGACAGTGTCAGGGGGACACATTGTCTTGAGTAGTATCTTCAAGTACAGGACATCACAGCAGAGCTACAAAGCCTTAAGATCTGTTTTTCTTGGACTGTTGCTTTGTTTTATGGGTCAGCCAGACAATCCTATTTTTTATAATGGTCTGGTGCCAAAAAGTGCTCCTGCTGAGCTTTGCAACAAGCACAGAAAAGGCTGTTTCTGGATCCTTGGTTGAGTACTGTTTGTGAATACTTAATTTACCCTAAGCCTGATATTTGCCAGCTTGACATTCAGGCACTTGACAGAGTACTAGGTAACACCTTTGAGGTGCAGCCATGCTCAGCTCCTGCCTGGTGAACTGGAATTCTGCACCATCCCTGACAGAAGATCTGAAATGGAAGGCCTTGATATTGTGCTCAGGACATGAGGACATGGCCAAGTGAAAATGAAATACAGTAATGTTAAAGGGAAAAAAAATTCAACCAAACAAAGCAAGAGAAAAGGCATTGTATCTCTGCATTTGAGCCCTACAGGTCCTCTGACTCACCACTATGTCCTGGTGGATGAATTACCATGGAAGAGGTAATGAGATCTGAGAGTTGCTGCAATTTTTTTTATTCCTGCAATTTTTTTTATTCCAATGACATCTGCATTGCTGGCCCTAATGAGATCAGTGGGCCATCAGCCATCAGTCACAGGCCATCAGATCTCAGCACTGAGACCCTGTGTCTCAGCAGGATGAGCTAGGAATGAGTGCCTTCCACAAAGGGCTGAGCTCCCATTTACAGGTCTTGCTTATGGTTTGGATTTTCTTGAAATTGTCCATGTAGCTGTGCCAGATCATGTGCAGCTGCTTGTGATACACAATATTAGTGATGCATTTTGAAGCACGTGTATTGAAACCCCTGCACATCCCAGGACCTCCACCCTTCCTAAAATGGTTGTGTGCTGGGTGCTGGAGCTGAATGCTAGCTGAGAAGCCTCTACATAGATCTACCATTCTGAATCTTAGAACAATATGATCTTACAAAGTGATTTTCCACACACTCAATCCATTTGTCAGAAACAGGAGAAATCAACTTACGTGATTAATTGGGCATTATCGTGTTTTCTGTGCACCCTCTCTTTGCTACTCCAAGCCAGAAAGGACTTCAGGGTGGAGTAGGGGTTCTCAGTTACATCACATTTATTCCAGTTACTCCAGATCTCCAGCCCCACCAAGGCAATCCGGATATTCATGGATCGGTAAAACTAAGATAGAGACAAGCAAAGAGATCATAAAATAAGCACCACAAATTTATTTTACTGTGTTTTAAATCTTGAATATATACCCTGCTAATTGCTACTAGAAATCCATATGTCCAGAGAAGATGCTCCCTCTGGAAATGCATTGCAACTTAGAGCCATAGCTCTGCAGAGAGAAATGTGCAAACACCCACAAACCTAAACTTGACTGTAATAGAGACATTGACCTTTCATTTTTCAGTGAATGACAGACATAATATAGAGAAACAAAGACTGGAGACTGACATCATGTTTTATCTTCAGATATGTCAAAATTCCTGAAAAAAAGGAAGGAAATAATCTGCTGCCCACATCAAGTACAAACAGAAGAAGTATTTATGGGCAGCAGCATGAAGGGAGTGGTGGAAGGAGTTTAAGGGGAGAAGGGGAGTATGAAGGGAGTAAATCTGAAAAGTAGAAAAGTTTACTTCATCAGCACTGGGTAGCACTGCAAGAATGACCTCTGGAGGCTCCTTCCAGCTCTACTTCCCAGGTTTTCTACCATTTCAAGTGAATACATTAGGCCCTTGTCAAAAAGCATTACTTAGGTAACAGATGTAATACAGAGATGTAGTAAAACACAAGATGCTCATGTTGGCTCCAAGGTAAGGAATGGAGATTCCCCCACCCCACTCTTGATGTCCAACAACACAGTTGTTTGGCAGCTGCTCTCCACTCCCCAAGTCATTGGAACTGCCAAAACATTATTCTCTCTCCCAAGAAGCTAGTCTTCCTCTGTCACAATTAATTCTCACATTTCATGATCTGGGCCTTGCTTTCCTCATTTCACACACACCCAATCTCACCTTATCCACGTAATTAGCAGTCTCCACTAATTTAAGCCTTGTTGCTTCAATGCTGAAGTGATGCTTCTGAAACTGAACAAAATGAACATGTCAAGCAGCACAAAGGCAACTAGAAAGAACTGAAATGTGTTCAGACAAGTCACATTACTCTGAGAACAAGAAGGTAACTACGAAGTGAGGCCTGAAAGTCTCCCTTCATTGTACATCTGACTAAAATCCCACCTGTACATGTATATATAGAATTCATCCCTGGCACCCCACTGCAGGGATGTTACTCAAGCAGTGGCAGTAACACAGTGGAGCAACCCAAACTTATCAGTGCCCCCAGAGCCAGGGGCTGACAAAGAGCTGAAAAAGGTGCCAGGTAAAATGTGTGACTTCATCTTTGAGGTCAAGGCTGCCATAGCGCTCATCATATCTCACTCATCCAACCAATTTGTCTGTTTAAACTGCCTGGCAATTAATGAGTTAATTTTAGCAAACTGCTTGATTCAAAGGACTACATTGGTAAAATGTTTAGATTTTTGGTTAACAGATGACAAAACCTGGGACTTTTCTTCCAATGAGGGACACAGCAAAGTAAGGGCAGTTAATGACAACAACGTGAGGCTGTCTGCCCCAGCCTATCTAATCAAAAATGCTGAACAACATATGGCAGTTCCTGTGTTTTCTCAGTTTCCCTTGTGTCCTGCTGCCTAATAGAGAAAGCAAAATAGGTTCTGCCTCTTTAGTTTTGTTCAGAATGAATTATAGCCCAGAGCACTACGTGGCTTTCCCCTACTGGAGTTTCAAGTTGTAAATTATGGATAGGACCAGCCTGACTCCCGCCTGTGCTGGAGATTTAACAATCAGCAAAACAGTGTGTGGTTTGCACTGTCAGTAAGGGTGTCTGGCACGCCATCCAGGCTGGGGATGGGGGAGGGACTGCTGACTTCACTCAACTTCTTCCAGACCTATTATGTGATCTGGAGCCTTAAAAATGTCTATTTATGTATCTGCTACCAGCTCAGAGCAGAGCATAATCATGGTTATCTTCTCTAGAGATTAAGTGTGCTGCAGAGTTAGAAGCACATCATGCCTGGAAACCCCCAAGTTCCTCTGTGCTGAAGGCAGTCTTTCCCACCAGTAACTAGGACCAACTATTGCTGCCTTGGGAGGCCAGAACTGACCCTCCTCCCTCTTCCAAATCACAACCTGCATTTCTCCCTTGGCCAACAGTGGCTGATGGTGGTGGCAGAGGGGTCATGGCTGCTAGGACAAAAGTGACCAAGACACAGTTCTTCCTGTCTGCTGGTGAGGGTGGGAGCACTGGGATGGCAAGAGGAAACCTGCTGAGCTCCAGCTGCCCTCCCTGCCCTGGGAGATGCTGCAGGTGGGATGGTGCTCCATTGGTATAAACATGATCCCATTCCTTACCTCTGCATAATCAGCCACAAGCAGGAGCTCCACGTACTTCGTAGCCTGTAGAGTTTCCCTTTTCACCTGCAGGAGCAGCAACACAGGTTGTTCTCTAATATACCCCAAGAAACTCTTCAAAAAACATATGTACAGGTCATTTTTCCCAGTTTGTTTCTCACTAGCCATTCACCCCACCCCATCACACACAGAGACCTCCAGATGTGATTGACTTAGAGCAACTAAGTATCACAAATCAGTTTAGCTACAGCAAGTGCCCACCTGCCTGTCCTCAGCCCACCTGTTTGTTCACGCATTGGATGCAGAGATTTGTGCAGGAACAGCTACAGCCCACAACAGTCCCCAACGTTCATTTATTTCCCTGCTGGAGCTGCTACTTCACAACCAGCTTGCTACAAATCCTCTTAAATATTCTCCTTCACTTCACTTTCTCAGCTATGCTCCCAGAGAATGGCAGGCTTCACGGGCTGGGAAGAGATGGGCTATTTGGAGCATCGTGCACGGACCAGGCTGAGGCCCCTCACCCTCTGGCGTGGTGGTTTCATCCCAGTTGTGAAGTCCCTGAGCCAGTCTTCAGCTGCATCCCCAGTGTCCTGGTAGCCACAGGCTCCTCTCTGCAATCTCAGGTTGTCCACCCTGTAAATCCAGTGCTGGTTTGGGCTGTTGGGGGCTGGCTCCAAGATATAGCTGGAATTGCTGCTCAGTACGATAAGTCCTCTGTTGAAACGGGAAGCAATAAAAGGGAAAGTTAATTACTATCACAGCAACTGGAGACAAATCCTTCTTCTGCTGCTGCTGAATTCCCAATTGACCCTGGCAAGACACTTATCCTTACCAGGCCAGTCAGTTCATTAATAAAAAGGATAGGAATATTTTGAGTTCAGAGGGGAAATCCCTGGGCTTCCATATACTAAAATGTATTCAGTGGGCCTCAGACATTAAGGGACTGTTGGAGCATGTGCTGCAACAGTGCTAACCTGAGAAGTACCAATTTTTTTAATATACAGTTTTTTCTTTAGGGGCAGTGGAAGCTTTTCAACCAATAGGAGAAATTTGCCTCTAACAGAACTGATATGACAAATGTGAAGACTTTATTTGTCAACAGAAAAACCAGAGTTTCCTCAGGCAAGTGCACATAGCCAGATGGTTATGGTTTTTCAATAAGTATGTTAGAGCCAGGAGAGCTGGAAACCTGTGTTCAATGCCTTCTAGAAGATGTGTGGCTCAATGGGCAGCACACCTCCCTGTGCAGGCTCAGAGTGAGAACAGCCACGTGTGCTCAGCTCATGTGCCTCCCCAAAAGTTTTCTAACAATGTCAAAGAATTGCCAGCAGACACTGACAACTCAGGGACAACAGCAGGAACCCTGCTGCTTGGGCACACTGAACATCTCTGTCCCTCTGCAGCTGGAAAGCAGAGCTTAGGAAAACACAGGCTGACAGAAGCACAGCACACCTGTGGCTGCTTTTGCTTTTGGATTATTTATTGCAAGCCACAGGTGGCTGCACTGTCCTGTTTATCTCACTGGACTCTTTGGCCCGTGCTACATTCACTGAAGATGTCTCAGGTTTGCTTTGGCCCAGGCTGTTTCCTGGCTGGAGCCAGTCCCATCAGCCCAGCTTCCAATCAGCGCTCCAGAGCAGATGACCACTAATGTCAATAAAACCTGTGTGATGTTTTGGAAACAAACTCTGAGATGGTGTAAATGAATGCAGCTCCTTGGTCGCAAGTAACCATTTACTCCTGGCTGAGGATAAAAAAAAAACTCTTTTCCTGCCACAGACTCCATCACTCCTAAAGCAAAGGTTTCACATGCACAACACACACAACGCTGGCACCACCCAGGGAGAAAGCAGAGAGCTGGGCTGACAACCCAGGAGGAAATTCAGACTTGGGAAGACTTTGCCCCAAAACACAAACTTGCCAGCTGTGAGAAACTGGGAGAAGGAGCTGGTTTCTGCATTACTGTAGAGTATTGAGCTGAGACATGGTGAGTCCTGTCCCTGCCTGTAACAGATGCAGCCCTGAGTAACTAACAGGAGCCGTTTGCTCCAGTGGACTCTTGAGTTAAACTCAGTGATTGCAGCAGCCCGCGTTGCCAGCACACAGGGGAAAGGGGCCAGGAGCTGGTACTAATGACACCCCAATTTCTGCATTTTCCCCAACATGCGCCTTTTAATGCCCAGGTCTGTTGGCTGGGTGGCCTTCAAGAACAGTTTTATCCACACAGAAAGAAACAGGGCAGCCAGGCTGCTGGGGAGCAGAGCTCGGGTGGCAGCACAGCAAGGAGCAGGGCAGAGGCATTCCCGCAGCTCCCGCACCACCAGGCACTCACCGCAGCCCTCGGCACGTGCTGAGCGTGACGCTGGAGTGCTCCCGGCCCCGCACGACCCCGTGGTAGAAGCAGTGGTCCTGGAAGGCAGAGGGAGGCAGGGTTGGCAATGGAGCTTTGGGGATGGACACGAGCTATATTTAGGCATCGCTGAGTCCCGTGCGGGCGCCGCCAATACTCCAGTAATTGTTCTCTTTCCGCTGCATTTGGCAGCTGACTGTCGTCACTAAATCTCTGTGACTCTGCATCGAAATTTGGCCTTTCAGCTGCCATGCGTGGCCTGTGCCAGAGCATCAAACAGCTCCTTGTTGCCAGTAAAAACTGAGAGCTTTGAATCCCCAAGGAAGCAACTCAAATGGCTGCAGCACTAAGGCCGACCCAAAGCTTTCTGCCTGTAACAGGAGCTGCCTATCGATGGCTGCTGGCCCTGGGTCAGGCCCCAAAGGACGTGACTTCAGCCCCAGAGAGGGTGACACCATGGGCGATGGGGAAGTAAGTCCCTGTCTTGGGGCTCCCAGCAAGACAAAGACAGCCTCTGGCAGGGACAAGGAGGCTTTGGGGCAGAAACACCAACATATTCATCATATCCCTTCCCCTCACCCCAGGGCAGCGTTAGGAAAGATGATCTCATGGGGATTTTATCTCTTATTTTTGCTTCGCGACCAATGCACATCTTTGTGCTGCTGCAGCAGAGAGCCAGCCAAGGCCTGCATGAGATGGGAAATTTATGGGACTTTTGCTGAACAGCAGCCAGCTCACAGGGGCTTGTTTTTCCAAAGGCTGGGAAGGTCCCCAGCATGGAGCGCCCAGTGGCAAAACTAAAAGCAAGAGGATGAGCAGCGTGAGGAAAAAATGATTCCCCAGCACCCAGAGAGAGGGGAGCAATGCTGGCAGCTGACCTTGGCTCTCATAGCAGAGCTCAGCAAAACAGCAAGATGTTTTTACCATTTTTGGGGGATGGAGCAGCTTTCTCACAGGAACCTCCCAGGTCAGAAAGCCGGACTGCCCTCCCCTTCATCTTAAAGCTGTGCGAACCTGTGCGCTCAAAGAAAGGCTCTGGAGGAAGAGCCTCCCTCATGTCTCTGAGCCCCCTGCCTGGTCTCCCCTGCAGCTGTGGAAGGGAACATGCTCTGCACTCACCGTGTGGGTCAGGGGGGTGGTCTGGGCTTGGCCAGTCTGGCTGTAATGGGTCTCGGTGTAGCCTGGTGCAAAGAGGTTTCTGCAGACACAGTGGAGGGGGAGAAAGAAAAGAAAAAAAAGCCAGTTAGACCTTTCTTTAGGCATAGATTTATGCTTCGTAGGGGTGCTAGAAAATCAGCTAGATCCAGCTCTTCCTGCAGTCAGTGTAAACATTCCTGTTGCTGTGAACCACTGTTGTGGACTCGGGGCAGTCACTGTTTTCTGCCTGTAGTGTGAAACCAACTGCAGCAGCCTGTGAGGGCAGGCAGGTACTCACAGGACACCGGCTGTGCTGTATCTCTGCACTCTCCTCTGGGAGATCAGCACGTTTTGCCTGCCAGGCCCTTGTTAACACGCTGTCCCCAGGGAGCAGTGGCAGCTCCTGATGGCTCCAGAGCCACTGCAGGACCGTGCCACAGGCTGTGCTGCCCCGTGCAGACCACACTGGGATGGCACAGGGTCAGGAGGTGGAAGCACAGCCGACCTTGCCACATCATTCTACGTGCCCTGGCAGGAGCTGAGCGCTTCTCAGGGAGCACATCCGCTTCTGAAAGGGTGCAGCAAGCCATCTAAGTGCTCTTTCAAGCCATTTATTAAATTAAAACAAAAACAGAGAGCCTGTTCCTGAGTTCAATTAGGCACCAAGATCCAATTCCAGCAGCTGCAAGTGAACAACTCAATTTTTACATGGTAACTTTTTAAAAAAAAAAAAAAAAACAGAAACCCAACATCATCATTGACCCCTAATGGGTACAAGCCTCTGTGCAATTTCCTCTCTATTGCCAAGTTATACCCCAGATATACTGGGATTAGATTCAAAGCAAGCTCATCACAGTCCAGTTCAGGACACGTCTGGGCACTGGTGTGAGTTCTCAGCTTAAATCCAGACTGTCTCCAGTGCCCAAATCTGAGTACAATCATAAACCAATCCGCATCTGCGTTTCAACTTCTGCCCAGAAGCCAATTCACATCTTTGTTCCAGGAAAATGCTGATTCCTGAATTTGAATTTGTTCATGTCATCCTCATGTACACAATATTCTCCCTGTCTTCAGCCCAGTATCAGACTAAAAGTCTATAAAAGGAGGTCCTGTGCACTGAATAGAAAGCATTTTGATTTTGCTCCAGAGGAAACAGCCTTCTCCTTCTTTTTAAACATCTGCATTTGCTAAACAGTGATGTAAAAAAGTACAGCAAGTCAAAATCTGGGCCAAACCAAGAAGGTCATATCCTGTGTCCATCTCAGCAGTCACAAATGTAGGTTTAAAGCAGTTTTTTAAAACAATAGCTTGACTTCCAAAAATTTGGAGAAGGATCACAGAACATGCCCCATCGATGAAACACACTTCTGCAGCAACCCCATGGTGCTGTCAGGCCACCAGAGTGCCACATTTGCCATCCACGAGGATGCCACATGCACCCTGGGCAATGCATTACTAGATGCAGCTGCAGCTCAGTCCTTCTACATCCCTGTTTAATGCATTCCATGCACTAGATTTTAGACCTGTGAACTGCAAGAAAGCAAGAAAAAAAAAGTTTTCCTCTTTTCTTTGCCTGATTTCTTTAGGCTGGATGAAGAATCAGAAGCAAACCCAGAGATTTTTCCATCTGCCCTGGCTTTTGGTATGTGGCAGTCAGGTCTAATCTACCTTGAAAGCCTCTCTGTTTAAATAAGGGATTGGGTGCTTGTGACATCTAATTAAATTAGGTCAGAACCACAGGAAACTGAACCTTTTATCAAAGTGTTTGAAAATGCTTTGCCCATCTGGCATCCACACCTGAATAAGTACTGATGGCTTACTGATAGGCAAAACCCTGGGCCACTGTTGTGTTTGATAGCATTTGATGTCAGGAAGATAACAGCTTTTATCTCCACTTTTAAAGTTCAGCATAGCCCAGAAAAGCTAATTCTGCCTCTTTCTGATGTGTTAATTCTCATCACTAGGTGCTGTCAGAGATCAGAAGGCGAGTTTGCTGCAGTCAGCTATCCCAGGTCTGTAAACTGAAGATAAGCACCACAGCACCATCCCACAGAACACAACTCCCTTGATCTCCCTGACTGCAGCATGAGGGTGCAATAAACAAATATTTAATCAACAGATTGCATTAACAAGGAAATTGTTCTGAGCAGTATCAGGTATCTGGTCTGTGTCAGGAGAGCAGACAGTAAACCAGTGTGTATGTGTGCTCTTACAGCCAGACACCAGCCCATGGTTTACAGTAGCTGAGGCTCTGCACAGCCTGCTTGTCTCATTCTCAAACAAGCACGCTTATGTTTTCTTCCTGCTCCTTTATTCTTGGAAAGCATTTGCTATGAATAGCTATTTTATCTCTCCTCCAGCACCAGCCATAAGACTCCTCAGTGCTGTGACTCCTGTCCAGCCCCAGGGCACTGCTGCCCAGCCCTGGTGCTGAACCGAACCGTGCTGAGCACCACAGCCCAGCACACCAGATTTCAAGGCACAGGATGATGCCACACAACACAAGATGTGTGCACATCTTTTCCTATCTGCAGAGTCAGGTTCTGGCCCCTTCTCGAGTAGATTAAGGTGCTGAGAGCTCTGCTTGAATTTTTAAGGACACTTACACAGCTGCTGAAGTGAAAGTCTGTGTCATCTCCATGTTACAACTTTCAAGGCTCTCTCCACCAGTTGAATCCTACCCTACACCACAGGCTCCCTATGAAAAGTCCAGTTTCTTATTCTGAGCTTGAAGCAGCCCTGTTTTGAAGACAGTTCCCAGCCTTTAATGCAGGGGAGCCCTGGGGCTCTTGCAGTACTAAGAAGGGCTGTCACAGTGGATTGCACAGTGTGTGGTGAGGAGGGCAGTGAGGAAAGAGGAAAACAACAGGACATCTTGCAACACCCTTGGGGTCCTATCTCACTATGAGCCTGTCAAAGTTCATTCCCAGCCCAACTCACTTCCTCAGCTAGTGCCAAGCTTTCACCAAACTGTAAATAAACAGCAAATAAGCCTTCTTGCCACCTCAGAGTGCACCACAGTTACCAGCCAGTCTTGACCCTCTTCTCCACATATACCAGTTGTTGGATAAACAGGAGATAGACATGCATACCCCAAAACCTTATCTGCCATAATTTCAGGACAACATCGCTGCCAAGTTGAACAGCTGATTCCAGGGGAGCTCAGCCCTGCAAAGCACAGATGGAACTGCTTGACCATTTCCAGAAGAGCACAGAGCTCACCTCCTTGATGGAGAAGGAAAGTCTGGAAAAAACAGCACAGTTTGATGCTTTCTTCTCAGTTACATTACATATCTTAGTGACCACTTCTCCAGCAACTCACACTGAAGCTGCAAGAGTTTGGATGCAAAATAACATCACCTAAAGCCTTCTGAGATCCAGTCAGGCAGCTGGCAGATCACTTAGCACACATCATCTTCCTAAAAGGCAGCACAGAGTCCCTCATTAGAGGAGTTATCAGGATGAAGAATTGATGAAGCCAGAGGAAAACTTGGTTTGGATGGGAGTACTCTCCTTTGCTAAACCTCGACAGCAGCTGCAGCCTATTTGAGGCCAGGGTAAGCTACACAGGGACCCTCAGGATGTTCTAGAGAAGCCCTCACACCTTTCCAGCAGGGACCAGCTTTTGTCAGGATCAGTCAGTCCCCAAGGTCCAGCTCAGCATCCAAGTTCAGGGTGGAATAGCCTGCTTTTGGCAGGGTTTGTTCCCCGGAAAGCCTTGGGAGCCGGGTTAAATACAAGCACGGAAGCCAAACGAAGGAAGAGTGGCTCGGTGCCATAATGTACAGATGGCTTGGGACTGTTTCTGCTGATGACCGACGTGGAGGGATCTTGGTCCCGCTCCAGCCTGTCAATGATATCATTGTCTGACACAAAGCCCTCCTCCCTGTGCCGCTGTGCTGCTCCCTGGAAGGGCCCTGCGTGTAGAGCTGACAGGACATGGCAGCCTGGCTCTGTGCTGAGGGAGGTCACATACTTCACTCATGAACTGATGGTTTTGCACAGGAGAGACAGGCTGAGGGTGCAGGGCTTTCTTGGCAGGCAGCTGCCCCTGTGGCACCCCTGGGGATGGTGCAAGAACAGGCCTCCAGCTCATCTGGCCACTGCTGAGGAGCAGAGAAGCAGCTGAGGGGAGAGGGGCTGCACGGCACACCCAGATGCTCCTAAAAAACAGCAGAAGTAAAACTGAGGCCCTTCTTGCATGACCAAGTTCACTTGAGGGAGTGCACTTTTGCCAGCTGCTCTGGAGAACCTCACCCCTATTTTCCTGATAAATGAGAGCAGTTTTCTATTGCCTGTGAAACATCACTTGTTAGCACAAGCCTGAGGGGCTCAGAGCCCTCCCTCCCAGTGGACCACCATGAATGTACTCAGTTCCACCAGCCAGAGATCACCCACAGGCACCCAGAGGGCCTGGCAGCATTCTGGTGCTCTTGCTATTTGGAGCAAGAAGGATTTTTTATAATTTGGTCCCATTGGCAATCTTTTTTGGGTTCATTTTTACAGAGAGGCTAGTCTGCATGGACCTCTGCCAATTTAAAAACACCCAGTAGTATCCAGGAGATGGACATGGTTTTTATTTCCTCCCCAAAACCAAAAACCAAATGGTCCATGAAGCTCTTGTGAGAAACATCAACATTAATTTTTCAGTCGTGGGACCAAGAAAAGTGAAGCCTTCAGTCTCTTACATCTCTTTCCCTGTCTCTTTCCTCAAATCACAATAAATCTGTCCAGCCAGGCTGCCAACATCTGGGGGTGGAGGGAATTGATTCTCCCAAGAAACTTTAGACATCATATTTCCATCTACAATTTGTGGTCCCACTCCATTGTCTCTCAGCAGGATCCAAGTAGGGTAAGAAGGGGAATTTGAACTCTAACCTCCCAGTCACTTAAGTGTTCCCTAAGGTCAGAATTTATTATCAAAAAACTGAAGTGACCCCAAGTTGAACATGACCAACACATGACCCATGACAACATGACCAGGCAGGTCTGCTTTCCATATCCATCACTAGTGGGAAATGGGAGATTTCAAGTTTCTGGAATATTCCAGTCAAAACCTGGCACTTCATAAAACCAATGAAATCCAAAATTTTTTTCTTGGTGAGTTCCATCCAGATGAATCCTGGAGCCCTTAAGCTCCCTTCCTCAAGAGCTTTTGCTAAGAACATGCTTATTGTGCAAACACAGCAGTTTGGAAGGAAAAAGTAGCTTCCCAGCTATTGAGATGGAACTAAACAAATCATTTGTAGGTTCTGGGAAAACCTCACAGTCTAAAGACTCTCCATCCCCTTTTGCCATCTGCATCATCTGTGACATTCACTGTGTAAATCATGTTAAAGAACCCAAGGAAGATTTGTCACATAGCCCCTCAGCTTACCAACAGGAACCATAAAAGTTGCCCAGAGAGGAAAAAGGAAATAAAATAAATGGAGAACTGGCTGATAATGGGTCAGTGCACAAAAGATTTAAAAGGCTTCATTTCCTTGCCTCTTCCTCTCTGCCCCATATAGAGGAATCACTGAATAATCCAGGGGAATCAGGAGGCTGAAAAGTAGCTATGGCTTTCCAGGTCCCACCCCTGTTTTCCTAATGACTCCAAGAGACAGTAGAACAGGATAAACTCAATTTCCTTCTTTTACACAACCCTTACCCCCTCCCCATGAAGGAAGACCATTAGACACTGATGATGTGTAGCCCATCAGAGGAATAATCTCATATATCCTTCCTGCTCGGAAATGGGCAGCAACTTCACCTCTTCCTCACTCAGTTGGTAGGAGAGGTCCTGGGAAATGTGCAAAAGCAGGAAACAGTGAAATACAGTGACACAGAAGTACAAGTGACACAGTTCTCTTACTGCACCGCTGAGAGCATCAAGTGGGGTGGGAGTGCTCATCCCCTACCCAGGTGGGGCTAGAAGAGATTGGGAATGATACCACTTTCTATCAGAGCCAGTTGCCCAGGAAAAAAAAAACCTATCTGGATGGCTCCCAAGGTCAGACCAAATGAGCTTTGGACTTCCTTTGCAGTGTCCTCAGCCAGTTGCTGCACATCTCCTTTGGGGCTCTGCCACTAAGTGCCCCTTGCCATCACGGCTGTTGTGGGCAGGCAGCATCCAAAACAGGCAGCTAAAAATCCAGGCTGCTCACAGGATTCACTTGCAGGCAGGGACATCCCCTGGAGAAGCCTCCACTACCCTTGGCATCTGAGAGGGCCTTTCCCAAGTCTATTCTTCCCATGAGAGACACAAAGTGGAAGAGAACAGGGAGGAAAGTCTTGTTCATACTTTTCCTGAACTCAGGTTAAAAGACAAATTCCACGCAGGTTTCTGCTGTGCAAATATGAGCTCTCCACTAAGAAAAGACTCACACCAGGCACTGCTGCCACACACATTGAAAGCTCTCAGCATCCCCTCCCTGTTTGGCTCAAAGCTGCTTTTTATTAACAAATGCAAATGCCTTTTACAAAAAGTCACTTTTCATCCAAGGTTTGCAACTCAGATTCTTCCGCTCCTAAGCCCCAGCCAAATTTAAATCTGCTTTATAGGCATCTCTCCATATATTTGTTGTTTGTGCAGCTCTGAGCTTTCCAATCCCGCAGCTGCAGGACATGGTTTTGAGTCATTTAAAACAAGCTTGAGTCGTTTGGAGGATATACTTTTGTCGTTATTCAGAAATATTAACTAGTGTCATGAACTCTGCTTGGAACTAAAGTGTGGTTCTGTTTTCTTATCAAAATCCCAAGCAGGAAATAATGCAATATTATGGTAATGCAATAACTGTATTTGTAAATATATGAAGCCCAAATGTAGATCTGTGCTGATCTTATTACAAAAAACAAGGTTGTGCACAGCTCTGAAGCAAGATATGCAATAATTCCTGTGTTTCACTTCTGTAGATGAACACAATGTCCTTTTCATATGGAATATGAAATCACAGGCTTGGTGTGAACATTACTTCCACATATTGAAACCAGCACCTTTCTTCCAAAGCTACTGCATCCCTACCAAAGCTGTACAGATTATGCCACGTCCCCTACTTTTCAAAGCAATCTCATCAGTTCTGTCTCTCCATAAGGAGAGTGGTGAATGTGTAACAAGGCTGCCTAATCCCCCAAGAACATAATTTTGAGCAGTTTTAGTAGCTTGGCAAATCTTCTGTCTAGCTTTGGGAACCATTGGGTAAATCATATCCCAACCAAACCCAAATTATGCCCATCATTTTATGATTTGAGTGATGGGAGTCTGGTATGTGGATACAAGAGCAAAACAGGGGTCAGGCAGGTGTGTTCACACCCCTGTCCTGAGCCCAGGAACAGAGCTGGAGCACAGCACCAACCTTGGTAGCAAAGCTGGTTTCCAGAAACTCCTCTAACTTGAGCAGTTAAATGACACAGAACTCTGGGTCTTATTTTAATTTCAAAAGCCCCAAGTACCTTCCTTGAAGTTGCAGTTCTCTTACACCCACTTCCATGTGAACTCAAAACCAGGAGCAGACAGACTTTAGACAACTTTGAAGGGACACTTCCCACTCAGGAGATTTCACTTTCCTTCCCACTGTCTGGGCACCCAAAAAACTCTTCACAGAAGTCCTGGATGCTGCAACTACTCAGCACCCCAAAGCTCAGCTAAAATCTCAGGCTTCCCTGTAAGATCAGCAAGTGCAATAATGAGCTCCTGGGGGCTGTGGAGCAACCCCAGGCTGGGAACCTGAGGAGCCAGGCTGGGCTCTGCCTTGCCCCACACTTCAATAAGGAAAAGCAGTTTGTATTCACTTAGAAGTGCTCTATGGATGCTGATAAACAGCATCCACAGGGCTCCCAGGGATGACTTCATCATTCCACTTTCAATCTGAGTGTCTCTACATTACTTCTGCACCTTCGCAAGCCTCTGACAAGTGGAGCCTCTCCACTAATCAAGCTCAGACTTGCATTTTGGCACTGCATCATCATCTTTCTTGAGCAAGGACTTTGGGCTTGGCAAGACTCCCTCATGAAACACTGCTATCTATGGATCACCTGCATTTGCCACAGAAAATAAAAACAGAAAACTCCAAACCACTTGCTGCATTTCACCAGCCCTAGCAGGGAGATCCATCCTGCAGTGGAAGTGTGTGCACAGGCTTAACCCTGTGTGTATACATCTCAATGAATGAAAATGCATTTCAGGAAATAAACACAATAGAAACCTTCTATTATTATAATTCTGTTTACTAACACCAGCAATGAGCTCTTCTGTGCTGGAAATAGCACGGCACGGCTCCCACGAGGCACCTGGAGGCAACGTCATCATGCTTGGAGCACAAATGGACTAACTCAGCAAGGATCCTTTCTCTTGCCAGCTTCCACTGTGCCAGAAACATTCACCTTTGCATAGCAACTGCAGAATAAGCAAGACCTGACAGTCCTGGAAGGAGACCCCCAGCAGCATCAGCAGTTACGTTGCTTCCAGGTTCAGTTCAGAGCCTGGCTTGGTACCACTGTCGTCAGCAACAGCTATTTTTCCTGCATTAGACAGGATTGAGTTAGCAGTGCTCGTGGTGCCTGGTCTCTATTTTCCCAGCTGAGAGATGCCAAAACACACAGAATGGATAGTGGTTTCTGTTTAGTTCTACACAGGTGCATGACTGCCTGTCAAAAGCACCTCGCTTTTGCAGCACTGAAACTCTCAGTAGCTTATTACAGGAAACACCTTGTAGGATATACTTTCCTTCCATCAGCCATAGATTTCAGGCTTTAATGCAGACAGGGCTAAGAAAAACCTGGTTTTCCTCCACAACACTGAATATCACTTAGGTTTATGCACTGCCATCAGAACTAGTACAAGACAGAACTTCTACAGACAAGCTTCTTGAGCTGAATTTCCAGCTGCTCTTCCTCCACTGAAAACTAATATACTCACAGGGCAGAGGGGCTCTGGGGCAGCATCCAGACCAGAATCCTTCTACCTACCTAAATCTCCTGCAGCTTCAGCTGAATTAAATATGCATCACACCCTATGATAGCACACAGCATTGCTGTCTCATGCCTGAGAGGAGGCTGCATTTCCCTTAATGCAAAAGCAATTTTTCAGTCTACTTTAGCATGAAGGGCACTAATGGAATTGAAACTGTCAGACCATTTCTCCTAGGAAGCAGAGCAGGACCTCTTTGGCTCACAGCAAATAAAATCCTCATTAGAGTCACACTGACTCTAAAGCACTGAGCCATTTGGTAAATAGGGAGCTTCATATCAGCAACATTTTCCAGTTCATGTAGTAAGAATTATGATGTAAAAATAAGTTTACACACTGAGGGTCAGGTCACCATCTGCTTTTTGCTGACAAAGCTCTGTTACACTCCATGCTGCTTAGGTGATTAACATCTGAGGGGACTCAGACTTGGAATAACCTTGAAATCCAGAGAAGGACTTCCTCATCCTGTCTTTATCAAAACCCTGTTGAAGTCAGTGGAGGTTTTCCTGTTGATTTCACTGTAATCCTTATTCATTATTTTAGTGAGATCACAATGCAAGGCACAAGCACACTTACCTATTTTTCTCCAGTTCCAAGATGAGCTCCTGGCCTTCTGCCTTTACCATAACTTCAGCTCTGAGTGGATGCTGCGTGTAAGAGATACACCATAACTACGAACACATCCACAAACACAAATTGTTTCCCTGGGAATTGCACCTTAAACCACTCCTTGCCTTCCTCCTACTTCAGACCTGAAGTGATGGGGAAGGGAAGGGATGGGCTGTGGTGGCTCTGAGCTCCAGGCACGCTGCTGCATCCCACGGCACAGCCATGCAGAGCCAGGAAGCAGTACAGGCACACTGCTGGGATGCTGTACCTGGGCTAGTGATCCTGGTGTCTCAGGAGGAATAATGGGTTCAGACAAGGCAAAGTGCTGGTGCTGGAGCACTTGGAAGGAGCACTGGGTGGAAGGAACGCGCTGTACCCCCCTCTCCTGTACACTGTGCCCCAGAATGAGCTAGTTAACCAAAGCTTCCTTTGTTGTCACAGCAGAAAGACATTTTTAGGAGCCTATTTCAGGACAGGGGGATTCACATCTCTTCCAGAGATTTTCACATAGTTCCTTTACTCACAGAAAAAGACAGTAAAAGACATGCAACAGAGTCCCTTGGATGTCTTTAGGCTCTAGCCATTGTAAAGACAGTATTCCACAGCTGCTGTCGTTTAAGTCCCAGGCTGCCAAGGGACTGGAAACCATGACAGCAACTTTCTAGTGTGTTCAGGCACACGCTACAGCCCTGGCTTGCAATCTGTCTGCAGCTCTGAAGGAGGACACAGGACAACAGGCTCCCTAAGGCCTGCTGGTGCGAACAGAACAGACCCTAATTTCTTAGTGGAATGGCAAATGCATACACTATAACCAACCATTTAAAAAAGAATCATTCAAAACACTGAAAACATAGAATATGCTTTCTAGAGGACCAACTAGAAGGACCTCTGAGGTCTCCAGTTTTACCTCCCTCAAAGCAGAACCACTACACCTAAGCTCAGCTCGGGATTTCTGAGTCTGAGTGCTTTCTCATAAAGGAAATGGATGAACAAATTTCCCAGAAGAGAAATAACTCATTTGATAACAACACACTTCTCTATTCAGCTGAAAGAAAAAAAAGAAATTATGACAACTGGTGAGAAAATTAACCCATAGTACTTTCTAAATCAATGCTGAAGAAGATTTTGCGGAACACAACAACTGAAAGTGAAATAAAGCAAGACTGACTGAATGGGACTCTCTGATGATAGGTCTGTCAGCCCAGAGATATGCACACTTGTCACTTCATCAAATCCAACTTCTTTCATCAGCTCCCTGCTCATATTCTGGGTTTTGTTCATCCTTCCTTCAGTTTCCAGGATTTTGCATCAGGCCCCCACAGATGATGCAAAACGAGTTAATACATTAAGGGCTAATTCCAAGGGGCTGAGTTTCATTTACAACCACAGGTACTCAGTACATCTCAGGGTAATTCTGTGTTTCAGTAACTAAATGTAACTGGGGGGTCTGAGGGTCTCCATCACTGTAAAAGTCTCTTCACAAAGGTTGTGCAAACATCATTATTATGAATATCGCCCTCCCTTCTCCTTCAGTAATCCCACTGCTCCAGAGTCCATCAATTGCTGTGTAACTGAAATATCCCAGCTGCATATAAGCTTTGCTAACACTCATTTCAGAGCCAACAGGAATTTGCCTGAAACAAACCAAGTACAACCCCTGAGACCCAGCAAATTTATACAATGGGAAACGCTGTCCAGATGTATTTGCATCACTATCAATAACAGAACCAAAACCTGCAGGCAGCACTGCAAAGGCACTTTAAAGAGAATTAAGATCATGAGAGAGTCATTGTAGCTTTTTTTTTGTGTGTAATATGACACAATAATAAGTTTTAGAACCCCCAAATAACAGCACAATAATAATAATAAATTAATAATAAATACTCAAGAAAAATCGTGGTATCTCCCCATAAAGCTTCCCCTTTTTTTGGTTCACAACGTAAATAACACCCTCTGGATTTTCCTCTTTCATTTGATTATGCAACTGTAATTGCTTCTGATTGTGATAACACAAAGGCTGAGAAGTTGTGTTTGTGTTAAGTCTGGCACCCCAGCAATTCTCAGAATGGCCAGAGGCTATTGACACCCCACTTCATCCATCCATGTAACAGAAGCAGGGCTGTGATCTGTATCAACATATACTGTGTCTGAGACACAGTTAAACCCACCTGAGCTACTGGTTGGCTTTTTTATTTTAGTGAAGCCCCCTCACAGCTGGGATTTGTAGAATCATAGCACAGTTTGGGTTGGAAGGGCCCTTGAAGATCGTCTAGTTCCAACTCCTCCTGCCATGGGCAGGGACATCTTTCACTAGACCAGGTTGCTCAGAGCTCCATCCAACCTGGCCTTGAACACTTCCAGGGATGGGACACCCACAGCTTCTCTGGGCAATCTGTTTCAGTACCTCACCACCCTCACAGTCAAAAATTCCTTCCTAATATCTAATCTAAACCTGACATCTCAGCTTAAAGCCATTCCCCCTTATCCTGTCGCTCCATGCCCTTGTAAGAAGTCCATCTCTGGCTCTCTTACGGAACTTTTAGGTACTGGAAGGTGCTACAAGATCTTTCCAGAGTCTTCTCCAGCTGAACAACCCCAGCTCTCTCAGCCTGTCTTCATAGGAGAGGTGCTCCAGCTCTTGGAGCATCTTCACTGCCCTCCCCTGGCCTCGCTCCGACAGGTCCATCGGTGCTGGGGCCCCCAGAGCTGGTCACAGCACTGCAAGTGGGGGTCTCACCTAAGCAGAGTACAGTGTCAGAATCCCCTCCCTCGACCTGCTGGTCACACTGCTTTTGATGCAGCCCAGGACACAAATGGCGTTCTGGGCTTATCTCCCCCTAAAGCAGATGCCTCTCTTCAGCTGTTCCCTAAATGCCACTGATTGTATGGCCCCACTCCCGTTTCACAGATCAGGTAGATACATATCGAGGTTTCAAGGCATGGTAGAGGGCAGGGTGAAAGCAACGCCCAGATATGCCAGCCAGCTCATTCAGCTTTTCCCGGGATCCAGATATCCAGATCCTGGCTCATCCCCGCGGCTCGTCACAGGTTAACAAACCCAAAACGCGCATCAACAGGTGCTGCACTAACCGCGACATCTTCCCTGCGCCTGGTAACGGTGAGGAGGCTTGAAAACAAACCAGAAATGACCTACCTTGTGGCTGCCGGGGCCGCCCAGGGCTGCCCAGTGCGGCACCACCACCTCGGGCTGCAGCTGCGCTGCGGCTGCGGAGACAAGAGGAGCCGCTCAGCACCCCCGGCCCCTCCGCACCCCGGGCTTGGACAGCACGGAGCCGGGGCGGGAGAGGAGAGGAGCTCTGCGCTGGTTGCAGGAAAACCAGGAGGATCCCCCAAGCCACCCACCCACCCACCCATCCATCCTCCCACCCTCCCTCCCCGGGGGCTCCCGCAGCCAGAGGCACCGGCGCGGGGCGGGGGTCACCCCGCACTCACGGCGCGGTGGCTGCAGCAGCAGCGAGAGGGCGATGCCGCAGAGCAGCCCCCGGCCCCGCATGGCTCCGGGTACGGACCGGCTCGGCCGCCGCCGCCCGCCCTATAAACCCGCCCGCCGCTTTTCTCCTCCCACCGGCCCGAATCCGCCCTGCAGCCCCCCTCCTTCTCTTCTTCTTCCAGCCCATCCCTTGGGCAGCACCGCGGGGATGCTCTCCGGGTGCTGTAGCGGCTCTGCCCTGCGCCGCGGGGCTGTGGGGCTGGGCTGTGTCCCCCTCCCGGGACCTCGGGACAAGGGGAAGCCTGAGCACCTCCCTGCAACAGCTAGGAAAGAGGGGAGACCTCGGGGAGGGAAGCAGCTCAAGAGGCTCCCGTAAGAGCTGTGCTTACGGCTTCAGTTGTTTATTTATTTATTTGCTATATTTATGTGTAATCTTATAAAACCATTCACAGCTGATCCCATGGTTCCAGAGACATCCTAAATCCCTCCACTCCTGGAAAATGCATTATCCCTGGACAGCCAGCGGTATATGTGCCTGTATAAAAGGGCAGAACCAAACACATGTTCAGTGTCTCTCTCCCCTTATGGTAGATGGAAGGGCCAGGCTTGAGGAAGAGCTTGGGAACGTCCATAGCTCATATTCCCTGTGCTGCCCTTCAGGGATATCCACTCACTCCCATGAGGCTCCCAAAGGAGCATCCCTGTCTTCTCCTGCATCCTTCAGGGCTGAGTCATGGGTTGAAGTCCACACATCATTTCTTTGCCAGTCCTTTGCCTCTCAGGGAGCTGAGAACCTGGAGGTGTGAGACGCAGTGTCTCACTGCTGAATTACATGTGGGGTTAGGGTGATATCAGGAGAGGAGAGTTAGTGGGGTCATGCTGAAGTTACCAGCTGCAAACACCGAGTCTCCACAGTGCTGTAGATGCTCCTTGCACATGCTGAGCCCACAAAAAGCAACTGCCTTCCCTGTGTCAATGTATTTTTGCTGTGACTCCTGTCCAGCTCAACTGCAGCCTCACTCAAGGCTGCACGGGTGGACTGGCATGAATTTTTAAGGAGTCAGCTCCGAGTGGCAGGAAGAGGCATTACCTCTTAGCCATGCTCTTCAGACAGCCATTGATCTGCGTTATCCACTCAACTCTTTCCATTCATCTCTATATTTAAGTGTCTGTGTAAGTGAATCACCAGGGAAACAAGAAATTGAGAGAATTTGCGCCTGGCTGTGTTTCAGAATGTATTGGTAAATCAGCCTGATAGGAAATTAATACTCTCTTTAGAATAAAGGATTGCTAGATAATAGTAATGATTTTCTTTCTTGTCCAGAGGATTATTTATGCTGTTGAAAACACTGATCTCTCTTTTACTGAAGGTCTTTGCTGGCTCCTGCCATTGTTGCCCGAAGGAAACACGACTGTTTCCATTTTCGGATAGTTTTTTGTCTTATGACTCTCATATATGTCCCCTTTCTCCCCCAGCACTTCACATACTGAACCCTTGTGACCTTCTGAAGGTCAGTTTATTCCTGATATCACCCTGGCAGAGGAAATTCAGGGCATCGTGGGGACACTTAGAGGGAATAATCAGGGTGAGTGGGCTACAAATGACATTTTATCTGCTCCACAGAGAGGTCACAAATTTTTATGGCACAACTAAATCATGTTCTTTCCCAGAGCAAAAATCCAAGGACCAAATTTCAGCTCTTTTCTAATCATACAGAATATCTTGAAGAGAAACCCTGATTATTTTCTGTGAATTCCCTCACTTATTTATAGCTGCCTATAATATAGATGAAAACAATGGCACTATTGTGGATGTCTTTATTATAAATAAGTAAAAATGCAAGCCAAATTTAAACACAGTTTTAGCTATTCTGCTTTCATCCTTGCATAAAATTTCCATCTATCCAAAGGAAAAAAAAAACCACTTTGATGAGGAACATGTATGTTTGCACTGAAAGGTTGTCACAAATTTTCTCAGTACAACAAATCTTCATAGGGACTGCTCCATATATTTCTCTAAAAGAAGATCAGCTCAAAAAAAGGCATAAAATGGAATAAAGAGAGGCTTAAGATTGTTAAAGTACTTAGGCCAATAACTATCTGCTTGTGATTTTTTCAGCATTCAAGTACCATAAAAATAAAATATGTGCAATATTTGCATTTGTTACATAGTGATATTTTTATCTTTGGATCTTGGTAATATGAGAATTGATATCTTAATTTACAATCACCAGAAACTCCCTCTATAAAAATATAACTACAGGCTGTGCAGTTGTTATATATAGGTTAATCTATATATATATATATATATGATATATCACATTACTGAGACGTTGCATGGAAAGAGTCAGGATGTTTCAGCCTTCCTAACAGTGCTCAGATGTTGTAAGGGTACCTGCATCTGGCACAGGATGAGTCAGATCCTGCCTGTGCCCATCTCTTCAAAAAGCTCCAACCGAAGTCAGGGGGACATTTGCCTGAATCACAAAGCAAGGTCAGACTTTAGGTTATCTAGGAATTTTACAGGCCCAGACTCATTTCCTCCAGGATCCAAACTGCCTGATTAGAAGTATCAGCTGGGAATGTCGAGTCTGAGCTCTGTTCCCTCATCTGTTACATCCCCTGTGATCAAGGCATGGACATACCCATTAGCAGCAGCCTCCACACAGCACCCAGAGCAAGGGGCCTTCATTAGGCTTGACAGTGAGGTGTTTCAGCCTCCTCAGGGCAAAGCTGATGACAAAGACTTTGCAGTGGGGGTTCTGCACTTGCTCCACAGTTTGCAAGATGATTTAACACTGTTGTTGTTGGCTGGAGAGCAAAAGATGACAATTCTCCCATTATGTTCATAGTAAATTAGAAGTTAGCCACCAAGGAAATAGATAGGCCTAGGGAGAAGAACGCCTGTTCAAGGAACAGACTTATGCAGAGAATGACTTGGACATGTATCAGAGTAAGAGCTCAGTAATATTTCATTGGAACTCTTTCTTCAGAAATAGGAAAGGTTGTTGAACAAAGTGCTCTGAAAAGACTCCTGCTGACACTGGAGGAAATTTTACCCAGAATCAAAGTCTTAGCAGGAGAAGGGAGAAGACTGTCCTGCCTAACCTCTGCATAACAGATACTCACACTGATGAGAGAAATTCTATGTCTTTGGCTGACTTGAGCAGAATGTGAAATATCTCATTTTTCAGAACATTTTTCTCGTTCAGATCATTTGAAATGATCAAAGAAGGGAGGCTCTGAATGCGTGAAGGGAACTGGAGATTTAACAGTGAACTTCTTTATCTTGAATCTGAGCAGTTGAAAGCAGCTTCAGCTGACCCAGAATACTCTATTTAAGTTTGGTTTTCCACCACCCATGTAGGACAGCAGGAATCCTTGGAAAGGCCCTAGAGCAGCTGTCCTGCCAAAGAGGGAGAAGTGCTGTAAGATGATCAGGTATTGGACAAGGGCTTGTCCCAATGTGCTGATAGTGAAAGAATATCAAAGCAATCTCTGTGCTTCCTTTAAAGGGTGGGTCACTGCTGCAACTTTCTGCTACTACTTTTGCTTCATTCCTACAGGCAAGTGAACTTGATGGTAGAAGATTCTATATGCAGACACACCACATCTTTTTAACTGTGTTTGCACATGTGAAGCACTGTAGTCCTCTCCATGCTGCTTGTAAACTTCACCAATAGAATAGTGATTATACTGAAGTAGTTTTTTCTCCTAAGGTAAAACGGCACAAGGGCTTTTAATAACATCCAATCCATAAAACTGTCCAGTAACTTTGGGGAAGAAAGTTGTCTCTGCAGTGATGCACTGGGAAGCACTACTGAGTGTCTTTAGACTTTTACAGTAGCAGGAGGAAAACAAGCTTTGTAAAGAAAATCTACATCTGTTTCTCAAGCTGAGAACCATGTAAGGTGATTTTTAGCTTAGATCAAGGTAGAGAGTAGAGAAAGAAGAAAATAATTGTGATATAAGAGAGAAAATAATTATGATATAAGAGAGTAGAATATGTCCCTCTCATGTCCAAGTACCCTCTGCACTGCCATAGGGACTTGCAGGAGGGCACACAATGGCCAAAGGACTGGCCCTGCCTATGACCCACTTCAGACATTGCAAGAGGAGAAGTAACAGCACAGATACTTGGCACTTCAGGAATCTGCATTTAGGAGAGAAGTTCAAAAGTGGGCTGAAAATGACCTGGAAATGGGAACTAAAACCCACTTCTATCATGCTTTCTCCACTGCAGGGCTGCCAGAGCAGGATAAGGAATGATTCAGAGGAAGCCAGGTTTGGGAGGGTTGTTTGTATAATTTTCACTTCTGTTGTAGACAAGACATAAGAGCTTTCAAGAGAGCTCAGCTGAGGGCTGGATTCAACACCATAAACCTGCAGACACAGATCCCATACAACCAGCTTCCTCTGAATCATCCCTTAGCATCCCCTGGCAGCCCAGCATGGATGGACTTCTCCATCCATGGCTTTCAGCTCTTCCCATATTTCTTTGGATTTTCATAATTGTAAATACACACAGGCACATATATAAACTAATATTAGTAGCCTGAATTGTCTGAAAAAATTACTTCAGGTCATCATTCTAGGAATGTCCAGCCTAGCTGCACAGAAGTCTGTTACATGAATTACAATTTACCCTCCCCAGGTCTATATGTAAGCTCTCAAATTCCAAACAGCTCATCAAATTCTTCAAAATGACCTGTGCAACTCGCTGAAGCCACATGGGTTTCCCACTGAACACACTGACTGAAAAGGTAGTGCTGAGGAAAACATTTATTTCCCATTCTATAATGTTTCTCTGGACTATAATTTGTTTTTAAAATTACAATACTTGAAACAACTTTACATCTTCTTCCTCATCGCTATCAGTTACATTGATGATGTGAGTGCTGGAGGGAGTGGATGGGGAGGATGGCAAAACTTCCTCTACCACTTCAACATCCAGCTGTGGCAGGGGGCTCAGAGACCGCTCCTTGGTGCAGCTGCTCTGACAGGGCACCTCTTCAGGGCTCTCACAGATGCGCTGGTCCCCGTGTATACTTTCTTCTGAGTATC